GGCCAGCCGCTGTGAGCCTGCAGTCCAGGTTTCTGTGTGAGGAGGGCAGGCAGAGGCAGCCTCCCCTCCCCAGACACTTCCTGGCCTGGTGCCCTGGTTCTGGCTCTGAGGACGAGACAGGGCGAAGTCACACAGGAGGCTCGTCCTGGTGGCCAGGGGAGATGGTCATCAGACCGACCCTGCCCTCACCCCAAGGAGTGCGACCCCCAAGGAGACAGCCTGGAGCGCTGCAGCACCGATGGGTGGGCAGGGAGGGCTTCCTAGAAGAGGCCCCGTGGAGGTGAGCCTGTGTTGCATCAGGATGGGTGTGGGGTGGAGCCTGGCAATGAGTATCAGCTGGGGCACTGGGGAGGTGGACTGGGAAGGTCAAGAGTCGGAGGGTAGGGAACGCTCCAGAGGTGTCTGTGCCTGGCCTCTCTGTGCTCCTCCGAGGGGAGGCAGCCGCAGCGTCTGCTTGCCAGGGCTACCGTGGGGCCTGGGGGCATCGAAGGTGCCACCTCGGCACGGGGGCTGGCTGCCACCCCAAATCCAGCCACCTCACCAGCCACTCTGCTCTTCCCACAGACGGGGACTCACAGCTGGCATCTGCCATCGTGGACACGGTGCTGGCAGGCATCCCAGGGCCCCGGGGTCCCCCCGGCCCACCAGGTATGGGGAGGGCAGCACAGGCTGGCCTGGACGGAAGACCCCCTCCTGGGCTTGGCATTCCCCAGGCGCCTCAGGACAGTGCTGGGAACTGGGGCGCCACTCTGCTCTTCCCACAGACGGGGACTCACAGCTGGCATCTGCCATCGTGGACACGGTGCTGGCAGGCATCCCAGGGCCCCGGGGTCCCCCCGGCCCACCAGGTATGGGGAGGGCAGCACAGGCTGGCCTGGACGGAAGACCCCCTCCTGGGCTTGGCATTCCCCAGGCGCCTCAGGACAGTGCTGGGAACTGGGGCTGCCCCAGCCCGCCGTGTGCCCTGAGCTAAAGCCCCTCGCTACCTAGGGGACAGTCCCAGGTGGGCCTGGACACACGGACCCCAAGCGAGTCTGCTGGAGTGAGATGCCCACGTGAAGCAGCCCAGGCTGCCCCTGCATGGGCAGAGTGGGAGCTGCACCAGGGCAGACGGAGGCCCGGACCACGGGGAAGCATGGGATCAACATGGGGTGCTCAGGGAGCTGGCCGGGCAGGGGTACAGGGCAGAAACCAAAGGCTTAGGGAGGGTCGGCCCTGGCCCTCAGGACTGGCCTGATGCTACATCATCCCTGGACCCTCGCCGGGGCAGGGGCCCTGACCACCTGGCCCAGCCCTGCCTGCCCAGAGACTGACTGACATGCCAGCGGGGCAGCCTGGTCCCTTGTTCCCCGCCATTCACTGACTTCCATGCATTGCCAGCCTCCACGGAGCACTCCCTACGTGCTGAGCCCTGTGCTAGGCTCCTGGGACACTCGAATCAACACAGCAAAGCAAAGGTTCCCGTCGTGATGAAATTCGTTCTAGTGAGGACGACAGCCGTGCATGAGTGGTTACCTAAGTCACTGCGATAGGGTCTAGACAGCAACAAGTGGGACAGAGAGATGAGGGGACCGAGGGAGGAGCGGAGCCTCACCCGGAAGGGGCCAGGGAAGGTAAGGAAGCCCCTGGGGCCTCTGGGTGATATGCCGCAGCTCTGGAGCACTTGGGCTGCAGGGAGGGTGACTGTTTTAACTGACTGCGTCCCAAGGCATGCCCCTCGCCCCCAGGCCCTTTCTCTGTAAGCCTGGAAACAGGGCCAGTTCGGCGTAGCCCAGCAGGAGCTCCCCATAGCCTGGGGGGCTCAGATCTTTACAGGGCCCTTGGGGACAGAGGCCTCACTCTTCCAAATGTGCCAGACATGAGTCAGAACCCCTTTCCCCATGCTGGGCACATTAGATGCAGCCCGACCCTCTGAGCACTGCCCGGCCCATGGCCGAGACAAATGGGACCACAGGGACCGTGGGCTCCAGCTGACCATCTGTCATTGCCCACAGGTCCCCCTGGACCACACGGTCCCCCAGGACCCCCAGGAGCACCTGGATCCCAGGTAAGGACTTCCAGGGAGGGAGGGGCAGGCTTGGGGACCACTGTTTCCCTGGGAGAGAGAAGTGGGCTTCTTACCAGTAGGAGTCGTTCAGGAAGGCGCCAGCCCACCTGGCTGCTGGGACATGGAAGGTGGGTGGGGGATTCTCATTTCATTAGCAGCAGGGTCGCCATGCTGGAAATGCCATACATCACCCCCAGCTTGTGGGTAGACTGAGTCCCAGAGAGGCCAGCGCTGCCCGAGACTGCACAGAGCGTATGGGTGGGGCTGGACCTGAGCCAGCTCAGAGCGCCGGCCCCCTCCCTGAGAACCGCTGTGGGGAGGGCTCACCCCAGCCCGACTGCGCAGCCCCAGACCTGGGCTTGCCCTGCCTCGCCAGCTGCGTGGCCTGCCAGTTCCAGGTAGAGGAGAGGGCGCATGTAACGGCCCTGCGGCAGGAGAAAGGCTGACGCGGAGTGAGCAGTGAGCTGACATGGCAGAGCTGCCCGTGGGCCCGGGTGTGGTTTTGTCACAAAGGCAGTTACTCACGGAGCTTCAGGGAAGCCATCCACGATCCCACTGACATCTTTTAAGGGCCCCCGGCTGTTGTGGGGGACAGGAAGGTGGTGTGAGAGGAGAGGATCGGGGAGACCAGGAGGAGGCCCCCACTGTAGGGTAAGGGACTCTACGGCAGCTCCCGTCGAGGGGGTGGCCATGGAAATGGCAAAGTGAAGGGGTGTATTTAGAAAGTGGACCTGTCAGGCACGAGGGGAAGGCCCTAGGCTAGCTCCTGGTGTCTGTCGGAGCAGCTGGGAGGACCCCGAGCCATTTCCCGAGAAGGGGAGACTGGGGGGGGGTGGCTAAGTGTTCCCCTTTGGGGGGGCGCTGACGGCCCGCAGGGTAGAGCTTAGAGGGCGGCTGGACACAGGCCTGAGGCTCCGGGAGCCGTGTGGGCTGGGCGCCAGCACGTGTGGGACCATTGCTGTGGCTATCACTGTCCCCCGTTCCCAGAGGCCCTTCTCTCTAGATTTATCGTCTGTTTGAGACTTTTTACTGTTGGTTAAGAACTGAAAACTCCCACATAGGACTCCCACATAGTCAATCGTGGTTTGAGTCCCGGACCTGGCAGCTTAAAACTTTAAAACTCACACTGGGTGCATGTGTGTGCATATGTGTACCCAAGGTCCCAGAAGGAGAATGGAGAAGGGATTGCGGCATGGCCATTTCCCCTGGGGGTGATTTCTTACGTTCTGTCTCTGTTTCTCTATGTCTCTCCAGCGAGCGCACACGCCCATAGCAAAAAAAAAAAAAAAAAAACAAACAAAAAAAAAAAACCAACTGAAAACCCAAGTCTGTTAACTTGTAAGCTCAAAGGTTCATTCTGGTCATGATTCGGGAGCCCTAAGGTCCCGGGCCGCCTCTGGTGAGGGTCTTGCTCATGGGGACCCCTGCAGGGTCCCCAGGCAGCGTGGGGTATCACATGCAGAGAGCGGGGGGCTCGTGTCTGTGTCCGTCTGTACCTGCTCTGGCCTCTCCCGGTCTCCTTATAACCCCGCCAGGACCAGTCATGGAGTCCTGCCTGATGACTTATTCAATCCTAGTCACCTCCCAGAGCTCCACACTCTTAACCTCGTCACAGCCAAATCCCGACATGGGACCGTGGGGCACACTGAAACCACAGCATTACCTCTTTCCTTTCTCTGTGTGACAACTGTGCTTGGCATTGCCATCTTACAGGTGAGCAGACAGAGGGCTCGGCCGAGGCCCAGGGCCACACAGCAGCTGTGGAGAGTGGCTCCAGGCCTGGGAGCCTGCACTCTGACCCTCCCCTTTCCTCGTGTCCTCCTGCCCCTTGTTTTCAGACCTGGAGCCCCGTCGGGGGGAGGGGGTGGGCTGGGCGGAGACTGAAGGCGTGGCAGGGTGGGCAGGGCTCTCACCTGCCTCGTTTGACTTTCTGCAGGGCCTGGCTGGCGAGCGAGGTGTGGCGGGGCCGTCTGTGAGTGTGGGGCTGTGTGCGAGAGTGGGATCTGTCCCAGGGCAGTGGGTCGGGGTCTGTCCTGGGTGGCCTTGCCCGAGCTCAGCCCGTCTCTCCAAACTGGGGCTTACCCAACCCGACCAGGACAAGGGGGGGCAAACTTGGTCGATCCGAGCTGACAGCGTTGCAAAGGGCCAACACGGAGTGTGAGCAAGGGCTGCAGGAGCTCCCATGAGGACGGCTGAGTGGGGCGCAGCTGTGGGAGGAGTGGGTGAGAGTCCTAAGTCTCTTCCAGGGACTTTGGGCCCCTTGGTTACCACACCGTACGACCTGCTCTGAGCCTCGCAGGAAAAGGTTTAGATAGCTGGCCTGTCATTACTCTCCTTAGAAATGAGAATTTACAAAACACAACTCCTAGAGGGAGAGAATGGGTCTTTACTGAGTATTTACTGTGTGTCGGCTTCAAGAGCATTGAAACTTCACAGCAATTCAAGGAGACCGTGTTCTATTACCACCATTTGCCAGAATTGGCAGCTAAGGCTCAGAGAAGTTAAGCACCTTGCCCAAGGTCACGCAGCTAGGCCACAACAGAGCCATGATTTCAACACAGGACTGTCAACTGCCAAAGCCATGCCTCCTCCCATGCTTCTGTCCAGTGACAAATAACAACAACAGGAAACACTTTGAAGGCATTTCCAGGTGCCAGGCTCTATCCTAAGCCCATTATAAACATGGACTTACTTACCCTCCTAGTAAGTCTACGGCATAATATCTTAGTGTGCCACTGCGATGCTAAGCTCATACAGAATGGAGGCTTATTTGACTCACGGTTCTGGTATCATGATGTGGCTGACAGAAGCAGAGAGGGTGCTGAGGATGTGCAGAAAGCATGGTCAGTGTCCCATGTGGGTTTCCTCAGCTCAGTCCCTCTTATAAATCCACCAAACTCAGTCATGGAGGGCCTGGGCTCACCAGCCAATCACTAAGGCCCCACCTTTGGACGCTGTAATCAGATTGTTTACTCTTAATCCATCACCATGGCTCAACACACCACTTTGGGGGGACACATTCAAACTACAGCGCACAGGCACTATTCTTACCTGCATTTTGGAGATGAGAAAGCCAAGGCGCAGAGAGGCAGAGCAGCTCACGCAAGGTCACACAGGAGAGCCAGGTGGCAGAGATGTTACTGCGAGGCTGATGTCACTGTCCCCAGCCTGGAGACAGGGAAGCAGAGACTGAGAGGCAGGTGCTTGATCCCTGACATGAGCTCACTGGGCTCCCATCCTGACTCCCTTGTTCCAGAAGTAGATCAAACCTCTATAGCTGGCCCTAGTCACTTCCCTAGGCCAGGCTGTGTGGGAGGGGTGCCCCAGAGCCATCCCTCAAGCCCAGCCCCCATCCCCAGGCCCTGCCTGCCCTGACCCCCCTGCAGGCCCCCTGGTCTGCCTGCGAAGCTGGAGAGGGTGCTGAGGCACCCAACTCCTATGGGCACCATTGCTGAGGGTGACTTTTCCCTAGGGCGAACATGCTGTGAAAGAAGAGGAGGAAAAAGCCACCACAGCAGAGGTAAGCAGCGGGCTTCCTGACACCCGAGTGTGGCCCAGAGCCTGGGAATGGGCCCCTGCCCTTGGGAAGATCATAGCACAGGGAGAAAACAGCTGGGTGCACAGTGGTTGCTGGATATTGTGCAGATTGCTGCAGTGCGGGGCCATAGATGGGGCGACTGGCCCTGGGGGTAGCCGGGGTCCCTCCCGGGGAGGAGGTGGAGAGCCACAAATCAATGGGAGAGACACTCCCTTAAGGAGGTTTCAGGCTGCAAAGTCTCTGCCAAAGGCCTGGGCTCGCCCATTAATAGTGCCTGGTGGGTGGACATGCCCGCAGGGACTGTGGACACATGGCTGCTGTGGGGTAGGGTGTGTGGCCAGGAGGGATTGAACTAGAAGCTGAGGTGTGCGGATTGGAGCAAGGGGTGCTGGGCACGGGGTGGAAGGAGTGCACAGGAGGCAAGGGCTTGGCCAGGGGACCCGCTGCCCTGGGGAACCGAGGCTGAGGCCCAGGAGGTGTGGCCCTGGGGAAGACCTGGAAAGCTGAGGATGGAAGTGCCGCGAGGAGGGGGCTTCCCTTGGGCAGGCGAGCTGGGAAGGCTTAGACAAGCAGCTGGCGAGGTGGGCACTGAAGGCAGACGGCTGTGGGAGGCTGGCTGGGCTGGAGGAACAAGGCTGGGGCTGTGGAACCTTCAGTGGGTCCTCACAGGACCAGAGAAGGGGAAGAGGCCCGAGCCAGAGCAGCCATGGTGGGTGCAAGAGGCCATGAAGAGGCAGAGGTGAGGTGCTGCAAGTGAGTGCAGTCATAGCCATTTGTGGTGGGACACAGAGTTTCCTGTGCCCCCCATAAAAATGACCTGTGGCTCAGGGACAGGAGGCAGAGCTGGGTCCCCGATGGAGGGGTCTGGAGCTCCACACACAGCGCCTTCCCTGCCCTCCTTCCCAGACTGGGCACCTAGCTGGGCTTCCCGTAGCCTTTGGTCTCCTGTAGCCCAGAGGATGTTTTCTGGTTTCCTTGCATTCACTCTTAAACTGGATTAATCTGGCTCTAACGACAGGCCTGCCGCGTTCCACCCCCACAAGGCGCCCGTTTGGCTGCTGACTCCCAGGGCTGGGCCGATCAGGGACAGTGGCCTTGTCTCTTCACTGTCATTCTTCTTTACAAAGCGGCTTTGACACCTGTCTCCTCAATAAGTCAGCACCTGTCTCAGCGCGTTCATGTGTCTCTGTCACAAGGTCCTTTGCCCATGTGTTGACCAGGTCCTGGAAATGCAGGTTCTGTCATGGCGCCAGCCTGCCTGCCAGCACTCAGTCAAGTGGAGGCTCACCCTGCTGTCTCTCTTGCTTAGAGGGCCACACCTGCCCTGCCCACCTTGGCCTCCCCATACCTGCCCTGCCCACCCTTGCCTGCCCACACCTGGCCTGCCCACCCTGGCCTCTCCACACCTTCCCTGGCCTCCCCACACCTGCCCTGCCCACCCTGGCCTGCCCACACCTGGCCTGCCCACCCTGGCCTGCCCACACCTTCCCTGGACTCCCCACACCTGCCCACTCTGGCCTGCCCACACCTGGCACCTGGCCTACTCTGTAGCCCTGACTTGGAGGATGCTCTCAGAACAGCATCCAGGAATAAAATGAGCAAAGCACCTTTCACTTGCTACCCTGTGCTGGGTGCTCTGCCCTGTTGGGCCATGTTCTGGAAAGTCGACAGCAGGAGAAGTAGCCAGGCAGCCATGGCAGAAGGAAAGCCCAGGCTCAAGGCTGGCGGGTCTGGGTTTAAAGCCCAATCAACCACTCCTAGGCTGTGTGACCTTAGGGATGTCGACTACCCTCTCAGTACTGGGGGTCAGAGAACAAGGGTTTGAACCCCATCCCATCTGTGATGACTACTTGCAGTGACGACGGTAGCAGGTGGGAGGGGGCGGGCTTTGAGGACAATGCGCTGGCTCTGACTCTGGCCCCTCCTCCCTGCCAGGGCGAGGGGGTGCAACAGCTGCGGGAGGCCCTGAAGATCCTGGCGGAGAGAGTCCTCATCCTGGAGCACATGATTGGCATCCACGGTGAGCGGAGACCAGGGCCGCCAAACGGTCTTGCCGCCTCTCAGCTCCCCACCCCCTGCTGCCCTCCTGGGGGCTGCCTCAGGTCACAGGGCTCCCTTCCTCAGTGACCCATCCCCTTGGCTGTCAGACTGTCTCCACCAAACCTGACTGACCTGTCCCTGTCCTGTCTGAGAACCCCAGGACTTTCTCATGCCCGTAGCTGCTGCCCAGCACCCCGAGAACCTCCCTGTGGCCGGTGACAGACCACCACCAGCCACGGAGGCTCCCTGCCAGCTCCACGCCTTGTACAGGCTAGGCTGGTCCCTCCTGATGAACGCCAGGTCCCACTTCAGGACCTGCTCAGGGATCACTTGTTCTCTGGCGGCTTCCCTGGGCCTTCCTCTGTCCCCATGGTGCTCTGACTAGCCTGCCATTCCATCACGGGGTGGTGTTTCCATGTCTTCCCCTGGCACACGGGAAACTCCCTGTCTAGGTGGTGACTGCTGCTTCGGCAAGGTCTGGAGTCCTGGTCCCTCAGATTTGGTGAAGAATAAGCGTGGATGGGTGAGAATGAATGGGGATATGGATAAACGAATGAGCGGTGGGTAGGTGGATGCGTGCAAGAACGGCTGAGTAACTAGGTAAATGGAATAGCTGGGTAAATGAATGGATGAAGGAATGAGGGAATGGGTGAGTGAGTGGGTGGATGGGTGGGCAATGAGTGGGAGGAAGGATGAACAAATGGACGAATGAGGTGATGGGCATGCCGTGTGAGTGCTTGCACGAGGAGCCAGACTCCCCTGCCTCTTCCTGTTCATGCTGGCCGAGGCCTTCTCTCCATGGGGGGGTGCAGGGGACAAAGGTGCCGTCCAGTGCTCCCAAGGCTCTGTCTGGAACCCACCCTCCTGCTCTCTTTCCAGATCCTCTGGCCTCCCCCGAGGGGGGCTCTGGCCAGGATGCTGCCCTGAGAGCCAACCTCAAGATGAAGCGGGGTGGCCCCCAACCTGATGGTGCCCTCGCTGCCCTGCTTGGTCCCGACCCTGGGCAGAAGAGTGCTGACCGGGCCAGCGGCAGGAAGTAAAGGCCCAACCCTCCAAGATGAGCCCCGCTCTGGTCACAGACCCAGCCTGGAGGCCTGCACTGCCATAGGTTCCTGAGTGCCCTAAGTGGGCCTGGGCTCCAGGCATGGACAGTTCAGAGGGACGCTGGCACCTGGGGCCTGGGGCCTTGGGGACAGACAGCACCTCCAGGGACAGGGTCCAGAGGGGACCAGCGCCTTCCAAAGAGCCCCTCCCTTGCCCCTGCTCTCCTCCACCCCCACTCCCTGCTGGAGACGGGGTCTGGTGGGTTGGGCGGGGGTATGTGAGAATAATCATAATCCTCATCATTTATTAAGCCCTGGCCACGCCTGGGCCTGTCCACGGAGCTTTCCTTGTGTGTCTCATTTAACCGTTAGGAGTAGGCTTGTTATCCCCACTTTGCACAGGACTGGGGCTCAGGGGGTACAAATAACCCACCCGAGGCCACCAGGTCATGGATGGGCAGAATTCGAACCCAGACCTCTCATTCCCAAAGCTGTGTTCTCTCACCTCTGTCAGCTTTTCCTCTTGATGAGGAAATTCAGACGTGGAGGCACAGAGCTGTGATGGCTTCTGAGGCCTGCAGGGAGGCCGGGCCAGTCCGCGGGAAGAACAGGCTGGGCCCTGCACAGGACACCAAGGCCACAGGCCCTGGGCTCCCTTCCTCAACCCATTCCCTACCGGCTAGGGGCAGCCTGGCTTCTGGATGCTCTTGGAGCCCAGAGAGACCCGAATAAACCACTGACAGTCTATAGGCCTGGGGACCATGAGGAAGGAGCCTTGGTGCAAGCGTCTGAACCATTCCAGCAACACCCACCACTGCCTCCGATCTTGCTGAGCCCACTGCCCACCGGAAGAGGAAGCGTTCAATGGCAAGTCCACGGGGATGAGACCTGCGATCTCTGTAGGGTCTGCCACATCTGGTGACACAGCAAGTCCGATGTCCTTGACAAGCTACAGAGAGGGCCTCAGGCCTGTAGGAAAGGTGCTTCTGCCCTCAGGGCCACGGGCCTAGCAGGTTATAAGCACACACCGTCCTGGCAGCCCAGGGAAGCTCCGACTGCAGCCCTCAAGGCCTTTCAGGCCCAGGTCTCCTGGTCAAGATGAAACTAGGTGGCCCCCATCCTTAAGGCTCCTGTGACCAGCCCAGCCCTGGGGCTCCTCTCTCATGGGCCAGGATGGGGGACTCAGCGATGGCAGCAAACTCCAAGGTGCTGGCACCACCCTGGGGCTCATCTCCCCAGCGCTCTTGGTGCCCCATGAGGCCGAGGTCTGGTTCCACTGGGCCCTGGTAGCCTCTCCCTGCCCTCGAGGCCCTGATGGCCCCTCCCAAGACAGGTCTGGCCCAGGAACCCAGAGAGCAGCCTCCTGCCAGCCTGCCCTGGGCTGCTCTGGGTTCCTGGAGGGGCAGTCAGAGGCGGGCGGGAGGTCAGACCGGCACCACCACCTGTAACGTGGCTATCGGGTCTGACAATAAAGGTGCTCTCCCCACTGTGGATCTGTTTGTGTGATGGTCATCCGGGAGGCTGGGCTGTGTGCCACTGACCGGGTGCCAGGGAGCCTGTGAGCAGCCTTGGCCAGGCCTGGGGCAACCACAGAGCTGAGGCAGGGAGAGTGAAGAGAGTCCAGGCCGTTCCTGAGAGGAGGGCTGTGTCTACACTGGGCCTGGCTCCAAGTTCTGCAAGGAGAGTGAAGATGGGAGGCCACAGGCCTCTGGCCCCAGAGAGCCTGCTCCTGCCCAGCCTGAGGTCAGTCACGTGGTCTCCCTGGGACTCCAGGGAAAGCCATACACTCTGACGAGAAGCCTGAGGAATCATCCTGAGCCCCAGGAGGCTACTGAATCACCCCATGGTCTTTGGACCTATTAGGGGCTTGCCATGTGCCCAGCAACAAACCAGAACGCTGCCCCTTCCAGGCCCCTGCCTGGAGCTCAAAATCCAGGACCAAAGATAGTCGTTTTACAGACCAGCTGGTGGATCATGTGTGGGCCGCTCTGGGAGTCCAGGACCCAGGGATCAAAAGAAGGGGTGGGGAGAGCATGCGAGGGAGGGAGTGGTGGGTGCTGCTAAGATGCTGTGCCCCATAGACCGCGATCACACGGAGGCCTTGGTTCGATTCCTGGCTCAACCGAAGGGCGAGCACGGTAGCACATGCCTGTGATTCCAGCGACCTGGGAGGCTGAGGCAGGAGGATCGTATGCTTGAGGCTGGCCTGGGCAACTTACCCAGACCCCGTCCGGAAAAAAAAAAGAAGTAGGGTGGGGGCGGGCCCTGTGGAGCAGCAGTGATTTGCTGCACGAGCAATGCAGGAGCCATAGGGAAGAGCATGGGTTCAGTTTCCCAGTCAACCTGCAGATGTCAGGCGTATGGGCCCAGGGCCTGGCTGGCTGGGAAGCAAGAGGGCACTTGTGGTGCGGGGCTCTGTGGAGAGTGCTCGTCTTTCCCTCTGTCTCTCACTCTCGTGAAAGAAACTTTTTTTTTTTTTTAATTACAAAAGAGGAAGCGAGGCTGAGGAGAGGAAAGTCAGCAGTGCCGGGCCTCCATCTGGCCCTTATTTGCCGATGATTGTGTGACGCCTTCATTGAGCAGCAGCCCTGCTTCCAGGCCCTGCTGGTGGTGAGACTCCTCCCCAGCCACAGGGGCCTGGCACGCCCCCTCGGCA